GGGGGGGGGGGGGGTCGGTTCCTGCAGCGGTCGGCGTTTATATCAATACAACGATTTCTTGAAGAGGTCGGCGTTTAAATCAATACAATGAAGACGATTTTCTATTTTCGGTGATAAATTCTCACAAGCTTTATTCAAGCAAACAAAGAGAAGATGTTAATTGATGAATTTGGTAGAAATAACAAATTGAAATAAAAGTAATCCTCATTGCATTGATATATGTGACAGGACTGTATAACAAGTTGAGGGTGTTTGCAATAATTTCCCAAGATAAAAGTATTTATCAGTGGAATCTGTCGCAAGCTTGTCGACATCCTCTGCTGTAAACGGTCCCCATTCATCCGACCCAAAGGTAACTAACTGACCCAAGTGTTTTCTGGTCATATGGATTTTCCGACCTAAGATTGTATCCATATGATCTTAGAATATGTTTATAAGGTTAATACGGGTAGGGTTGGATTGGTGTTAATCCTATTCAGGCTGACTTCTGGTTTACCCTAAATTGTCGGGGAGGGGGGGGGGGGGTACCAGGGTCCCCCTGGCCCCCTCTCTATTTCCGTCTTGTATTTGATACACTTTTGGAAAATATAGATTTAGTTGGGTAAAGGTAAAACAAGGCATTCAAGCAGTACTTAGGCAGTTGGTATAAACATCCCGCTTTGAGCCTAAAGTTAGAAAAGTCAACCAATTTTTNGGATCCCCCCCCCCCCAACTAGAATAGGATTAAAATCTGTTATGATGTTTCGTCGATTAAAATCTGTGAAAAAAACTGCAGGGTTATTAAAACTACTCGATATTTTCTATACAACTTCTCGATAATTGGGTTCCTCTAGGTCAGTTTCTATAAAATCGATGAAAACTTGAAACTGATAAATTACCCTCATTCCTTATTGCATGCTAAACCCCGCTCTAAATCGGTTAATTTGGGAAAAACCGCCAAAAAAGGAAATTTTCAGATGTAACCTTGAAATATAATATTGAATTCAATCTGGAGTTATTTCTTCAGACGTGGATTTCAAGATGGGTAATTTAAAAAAAATGGCCAAGGAAGAAAAACTATCAAATAATCAGTTTGAATATTAAATGCAGTGATACGCACAAAATGTATTATTTAATGACGATCTTACGCTCTAGAATAATAAAGTGAAATTCGGCCTATGGGAGGGTTTTGGAAGGGAAGGGAGGGGGGGGGTGCTATATGAAATTAGCTTGAAGTGGCTCTATAAAGTCTCACCCAGGAGCGTAACTAGGGGGGAAATGGAGAAAAGGCCCCCCTAGCCTGATTAAGGGGGGGATGCCCCTCCCTGAAGAAGGCTTGCCCCCTGGGGGGGGGGGGCAAGAGCCAAGAAGTCAACTCTGTTTTGCAGTTTAGCGATTCAAGAATCCTGACCCTGAGCAAATTTAAGAGCTCTGATCATAAAATAAAACAAAAATAATAATTAAACGTGTTCGTTTACAGTTCAATCGATATATTGCTGTACAACTAAAAAATTAATTATACATGTTCACCGCAAATATTGTTTGATGTGTCATATTAAAACACATGTTTCATGTAAAATCATGATTTTTTAATGAAAGGCATTTCTTGTCAATGTCTGAGTACAATGTACATATTTGATTAATGGATGAATAATGAATATATATATATATATATTAGTTGAGCACCTGCTCACCCTTTACGGGAAATGCTGTTATTAAACAAGGTATGTCCGATTTCAATTAGATTATACGATTTTTTTGGACGAGAGGGAAGGGTTAGCACATCGTTTATGACAATTTTCTGTTCGTACATTACATAACACTTCATTATATATCATGCGTACCTCACATTTAATTGATTTTTCAACTTATACAATTATTTTTATCTATAAATTAAAATTAGTAGAAATATTTTAAAACTCAAATATTTTTGACGTGCTCCAATACAAATAAACAAACCAGTTTTAAAGGTAAATAAACAATACATTATCAGTGCATTGCTTGATTTGATTGATCTCATCGCTCAAATATCATTGAAGAAAATTAATCTTTGAAATGGCTGATCGACTGTCAGGTAAGTGAACTACGAGTTTTTTAGTTTTTCGTGAAGTTGTTTCTGTATGTTTGAAGTCGTGTAAATTCTTGTTAGTTTAAAGATCAATTCTTTATTCTTCTGAGAATAATGTTCTTTATTAATTTGATTGGTACACACATGTTCGAAATCCAGGTCTTTCCTAGAGAACGAGTTTTGGAACCCTTTCATTCGAATTTTTTTAACCACGACGTCTCCGACTCCGACAGCGGCCCTCTGAAGTACGGTGAAAACATCTAAAAAGCATAGAAAAATTAGATTATGCGCCTAAACTATATCTTGCGGTGACATCCAGTGGCCAAACTTTACTAGTACGGAGATAATCCAAGTAATTCTTAAATACTCCTAGGGTTGTTAATAGTTTTTGTAAACGATCGTTTTCTGATTTTCAATAGTTTTCAAAAACTTCGAATTTTTAGAAAACGAATAACGATATTTTTTGAAAACCATAGATTTTATAAAAACGTGTCAGTTATTTTACTTATACTGTTTTAAATCTCTTGTTTTTGAAAAAAAAATGTTTATATACAATTATGGTAACTATTGTGAACGAAGGGTAGTCGTTAACGATCGTGAACCCTTGGAAATTTTTTTTGAAAAAAATTATTACATGCAAATCTATTGAATGTCGTTTTCCATAAAGTAAAACAGTTGTGTGGGAGCTAAAACTATTTTCTTAACGTACTCTGATAATTACAGGTGCCCTTCTGGCCGGTCGGTTTCCTCTCTTTTTAACAATCTTTAACGATGGGACGATCGTTTAAGGGTTGTCGTAGATGGGTTCTTAACGAAACTATGAGTTTTATGAAAATGATAGTTTTGAGAAACGAAACGTTAAGTTCTTCAAAAAATGAAAACCTTAACATCCAAAAATACACCCGTTAATTTTGGACAACTCTGGCTTTATTAATAACACGACTTCTCTATAAAGGACCTAATATTGAAGAGGAGTATTTGTGGAGCTGTACTCTGACTGGAGCAGCTGGTGAGTATACCTGGAACCCCGAGGATCCAGCAGATAATTCCGAAGATCCAGAAGATGAAGAGTTTGATCCTTCTTGTAAACCTAATCACAGGCTCTTGGGTAAGGCTTTTAGTGGGTGAATTGTCGTTTTAATGGGCGAAACCTTTGGGTGTATGGGCGAAACCTTTGGGTGTGGGGGCGAAACCTTGAGTGTGGGGGAGAAACCTTGAGTGTGGGTGCGAAACCTTTGAGTGTGGGGGCGAAACCTTTGAGTGTGGGGGCGAAACCTATATCTGGGTGTAGCTTTTAAGTTATAGATCTTATTATTATTTAGTTAAGACTATTCTACTGGATGAAACCGCTAAAAAAGATGAGGTTACTGTAGTCCAGATTGAAACTACTGGGTACAAGGATCAAAAGGTTATTTTTTTTCTCTTCTCAACCTGAATTTTGCCATCCGTAGTTTTTGTAACATTTGACGTCTTCACTTACTCACGGTGAAACACGACTCCCCTCTGGTGGACAAACACTTCAGGGTACAGAGACGTACAAAGTATGTCTTAATATTCTAGCTCTATCTTCAGCTTCCTTATTGAAAGATAAGAGCCCAGATGAGCGGGGGAGGGCAGGCGGCAATAAGCCACAACATTTTTCCTCCTAGTGATATGCCACATACAGGGTGTTTTTTTAATTCTGCAATTTTCAAAAAGCGATTTTTGAAAAGCTTATTTTGCCATTTTATCTTTTCTGTCGCATAATATAATACAAAAAAATTATTTTGAGTGAGGGATTTCTTAAAATTAGTCAGATCGGTCGAAAAAAATAGCGACACTTCATTAATTACAAGAGGAGGTTGTTTACAAAAGGAGGAAATGCAAATAAAATTGCGATATTACTGATGAAAAAAAAACTACTTCTGAAAAAACTTATAAATTTTTAAGGTCTTAAATGACGTCGTTTTCTGCATGCGAAGACTGAATTCATTTCAGAATATAACATATTGAGGCAAACTCGTACTGAATTTTGATGTTTGGTTTGGCTTGGTTCACTAGTAAAAATGAAGGAATAAACTTCAGCCAAGGCTCTAAAAAGGTATTGGGAGTGTATGCGCTTAGCATGCTTTGGCATGGAAGACAACACGGTCGTGGCTCATGGCTGCCGGAAGACCAAGGATAATATGTGATTGCGGCTTATGTCAGCCTGCCTTCCCCTGCTACCCAGATAGTTTCATCCACACTTATTACTAACATAAGACTCCTCTGACTTGTCTTTGAAACCCGACCCCCTGTCGGCGAAATCAAATGAAGATCATAACTTTCATATCAAAACTAGATTACATGCTAACACCTATAGTTAAAGAGACACTTCCATACACAACGAATCGGAGCAGACTAAGACGCACTGAGTACGTCTTAAATAAACCCATTAATTTGGGATGATAAGACTTAGAAGGGACTGGGAGTACCGCGTTCTCTGGTCATTTTGGTGGTACATTCTAGTCTGGAAAATTTATACTTTCTGTTTAGGTGATCACCCCCTTTGCAAAAATGAAAAGTGGAGTTGACCTGCAGCGGTATCTAGATATTCTGGTCCCAGATGCAGCTAAATTCAAGATTATCAGCGGCACAGGGCCGGTCACCCTGGTGGGCTCACACTGCGTGGACTTTTATGATTACAGGTTATAATTTACTTTTTGCTAAGGTTTTGCTTTCAGAAATGTTACTGCATAAACGTATACCACTCCATTGAGCGAGTGGCTTATTTGATCCACAGCGGTACCCTTAATAGCTTTGTCCTGTCAATGAAATGTCCCCCTTCTTTGAAACATCCCAACCTCGTTTATTATGTACTTGCGTTTCTTCAATTGAATCTGGTCCGCATATCTTTTGGTACTTACCATATTTCGGAAGGGGGGGCGGGGTCGAATTGACCCCCCCCCCCATTTTTTTATATTGCTTTTCGAACTTCAAGGGTTATAGAGCTTGAATTTTTAAATAAATATTTTTAATCGTAGAAAAGAGAAGATGACTGATTGATGGTCCATGCATTTACTTCCTTAAATTTGCACCACTGAAAGTCGCTAGCTTTTTTGAAAGTTGATTCTATGATTATAACAATAATAAACATTTTATGTTTTTGGAAAGCTGCTTGGACGGCTCTATTAACCAATTGTTGGACAGTTTTTAAACATTTTTCATGCAGCTGTGCAATTTTTATGAAGCATATGTTTAAATACCAGTTTTTCCATTGACAAATCATAAGTCAGAAAGAAAGTAAGCAATTAGCTTGTGCAAACTTTTGCAAGCTTATTGCATAATTTTCTAAAACTTTGCAAAAAATATTCACTTGAAAGTCAGGTCAGATGTTTTCCAAAAATGTGTTTTATGCCGTGTTTATGCGATTTTCAAAAATTTGCAATTTCTTCTTTTTTGTAATGTCATGCAAAAAATGTAATTTTCAGATAAATGCATGTTTTAGCTGTAAATGCAAACCTGAATTGGCCTACTCAAAAGCTTTCTGCTCTACTTTAATCTGCAAAAAAATTTCAAATATATACATTTTTGAAAAGCCTATCAAGCAAATTTAAATCTGAACATTTTTCAACATTTTAAAATCTTGTGTAGAGTGTAAATTGTCTGTGCAAAAATCTGCCCAAAATTACTAAAATGTGTTTCTGGTTTCATTTCAAATTTTCAAAAGAGCTATAATGAAATCCAATGACTGGAAGTAGGCCTAATTATGGATTTAGTCTGGTATAGTTAAAGTAAAATGCCTGAGGACTAGAACATAAGTCCGACCTTAAGTAATGGGTATGCGAGTTATTGCAAAAAAAGAGGGGTGTCAAATTAATTAAATAAGGTTAATAACATCTGACCAAGTTGTATTAAATTTCAATATTTTCAATTATCGGTTTTGATACGGTCATGTTTCGTGTGTCACCCTGTACCCAAATCAAAGTAATATTTGATAGGTTTTGCGCTTTTATACAACATCGTGCCATTTACCTACTGAATTTGATTTATCTAGGAGGTGAAGGCATCCCCAGGCAAGATTGATGGAAAGAAAGCTAAAGGAAAGAAGATCAGTCCAAAGAAGAAAGGTGGTGAAGAAAAAGAAGAAAAGCCCAACGAGCCTACTAAGGAGAAAGGGAAAAAGGGAACCCCTAAGAAAGAATCCCCCATGAAGAAAGAAACAAGGTAGATTTAAAACTATAGCAAGAGATTTTTATTTAATTAATTAATGCTTTCTCTTTGTCTTGTCATTGAACGTGAACTCCTTTGGGCTCCTGCCTCAGGTTTATTATGAACGGAAACTTCCTAAATCTTGGAAAATGACATCTAGTGTTCTATCTGTATTTGTATTAATCTATGGGGGGGGGGGATAGCAAACGGGAATAAACTGAATGTTCGTTTGTCAACCTTTTTAACGGCTTGAAATTATTATCAGAATTAAAGGATGTTATTTACTACTTCAAACCGAATGTTGAATTTTGTTCAACTAATTCATTTTTTTAGTGAGCCTAAGAAGAGGAAAGCAAGCGATGAAGATTCTACAGAAAAAAAGAAGAGTAAAGCCTAGAAAATAGATCATTCTATTGCTGGTGCCAGTGTGCAAGGATATGTTTAAGCTTTTATGTAATTTGTATAGTCAAATTATTCAATAAACTGATTCAGTTATTCTGCAGTGCCTACTTAACAAATGAGACTGGCTAAAATGTAAAGTTTATCCAAGCTATCCTTCTCTCCAATCTTGCTATAAGTACTGAAAGCGTATGTATGAGCTCTGTGTTTAAACATCAGAGATGTCCTGTTTCAAAATGTCTTAATAAGTTTGCTTTTATTACATTGGGAATACATAACGATAAAAACTATATTTCAAACTATAGTAAAACTGTTCTTACCAAATTTGTCTGATCAAATGTCGAGCAAAAATAAATAAAGCACAAGATTCTAACTTTATAACTACTCGAATTTTTTGATAAAATAAATTGGGTGTCTCAAACCTGGGAATTCAGTGAGGAATTTGATAGCGTTTTTGTTATGAATTAGCCTTAATGAATTACAAACTGAAGTATCGGCTTCTGTATCATGGTTAACGTACAATGCATATAGTTGTATATTGTACTCGTTTCTGAAGTCCTGTCAAAACAGCTTTTATTCTTGAACCAGGGGATATTCTACTCTACTAGAGTTGGCCGTGTTCGGTCATTTTTTTCGTTTAACGTTCAAGACCCATTTCATTAATTTTTATTTCAATTGTCTTAAACCAGGGTATTTTACAATTTTCTAAAGACAACCGCGTTCATTTTTTCATTTCTTTTATTCAATATACGTTTTTTTAAGTTAAGTTGATATAGTTCGTTCTCAAAATGATTGTTTTCTTACTGAGCGATCGTTCAGTAAAATCGTTCGATCAAAAAAATCGTTCTTTCAGTAAAAATACGATAGTTTTTTGAGTTTGCTTAAAGAGTTGTTCGTTTATATTTAAAATCTTTCAAAAATAATAAAAAAATGAAATCGTTCATGAAGGATCAAGATCGATCTAACGATTTTAAATCGTTCTTTTCAAAAAATTATCGTTTGTATTTCTTTGAACGATTAAAGGTTTTCGCATAATGGTTCGTTTTTTTTCTGAACAACAATAGCTTTCACGAAAACTTTCATTTGTTTCCAATTATTGTGTTCGTTCATGAAAACGCTCTTCTAGTGATTGGACAAAGCTTGGTTTGTTTTCAAAAACTTTAGGTTTTTTATTTAAGAGGTTCCTCGAAAGATAAATTCTAAAAATACCAAAATAGTTTATTCTAAACAATTTCTTTTTCTACAAGTTGCCAAATTTAAAACTAAAGTTATGTTGTGACACTTTAAAGTCGACCCGGTCTCGCTTGGAACTTAATTCATCTCTGCATTCTTTACCTCTTTGTGATAAATACAATCTAAGCCCTGAGTTCTAAATGTGTGTCTGTTTCTATTGAAAAGAAAGGCAAGTGACAGAACCCGATATATACCTTGAAAATACAACATTTAAAAAATAGACTTGACTAATCATTAGGCATCATCAATATTGGAACTGAGCCAACCGCCCCCTAAAAAAATTGAAAACATCAAGAATTTATTTACTTATTTATTATAATCTATTCTAATTATGTTTAATTAATGTCAGCTAAAGTTTATCAGTTTGAATAGGACTTGATTATGAAGAGTAAAATAAATAAGAGGGGTCAGCGTGGTTGTAAAATACTATTAATGTGATTGTAAAGGGATTGTAAACATTATATCAAGCGACCCTGCAGCAAAGGTGGCAATTCTCGTTGCACAACGGTACCTTTAAAAGCTATGGCTCATCATGAGTTTGAATAAAAAAATTGAAATTAATTGAAAATTTATTTTTAATCGCGGATTTTCTACAAAAATGACGTGCGCATTTCTACTACAGGATAGCATGTCCAATAAACACGTTTAACCTTAGAAAAACGAAAACATCTTCCACATTATTAATCAGATTAAGGTTTAAAGGGTTAATTGGGCATTGCAATCTTTACCTGTAGGGTCATATAATACTTATACTCCAATCCTTTAAGAAGCCATCCCAAATAAATATAAAATATCCCAAATATATTTGAAATATCCCAAATATTTATAAAATATCCCAAATAAATATAAAATATCCCAAATATTTATAAAATATCCCAAATAAATATAAAATATCCCAAATAAATATAAAATATTCCAAATAAATATAAAATATCCCAATTAAATATAAAATATCACAAATAAATATAAAATATCCCAAATATATTTAAAATATCTCAAATATATTTAAATATCCCAAATAAATATAAAATATCCCAAATAAATATAAAATATCCCAAATAAATATAAAATATCTCAAAGATATAAAAAATAGCGGAATCAAAAAGATATTGTAGAGAGAATGGGGGCGGGGCTGGGTACGGAATAAAGCTCAAAATAAAACAACAAAAGGTGTCAATAAATATTAAAATTGAAAATCATTCTCCACTTCCGATAACATAATGAAGTCCAAGACGGTAAAGCGGAATAGTATGATTACTGTTTCACAAAACACAATTAAAAACGATTCAAAAAAGCTTCACTAAATATCTGTGTTTATTGGCACGCCCTGTAATGTAAATAGCTGAGTTCAATACTAGATTTTCATGGCACACCCTGCAATGTTAACTGCTGAGTTCAGTACTAGATTTTCATTGGCACACCCTGTAATGTAAACTGCTGAGTTCAGTACTAGATTTTCATTGGCACACCTTGTAATGTAAACCGCTGAGTTCAATACTAGATTTTCATTGGCACACCCTTTAATGTAAACCGCTGAGTTCAGTACTGGATTTTTATTGGCACACCCTGTAATGTAAACTGCTGAGTTCAGTACTAGATTTTCATTGGCACACCCTGTAATGTAAGCTGCTGAGTTCAGTGCTAGATTTTCAATGGGACACCCTGTAATGTAAACTGCTGAGTTCAGTACTAGATTTTTATTTTCACACCCTGAAATGTAAACAGCTGAGTTCAGTACTAGATTTTCATCGGCACACCCTGTAATGTAAACTGCTGAGTTCAATACTAGATTTTCATTGGCACGCCCTGTAATGTAAACTGCTGAGTTCAGAACTAGATTTTTATTGGCACACCCTGTAATATAAACAGCTGAGTTCATCACTAGATTTTCATTGGGACACCCTGTAATGTAAACTGCTGAGTTCAGTACTAGATTTTTATTGGCACACCCTGAAATGTAAACAGCTGAGTTCAGTACTAGATTTTCATTGGCACACCCTGTAATGTAAACAGCTGAGTTTAATACTAGATTTTCATTGGCACACCCTGTAATATAAACAGCTGAGTTCAATACTAGACTTTCATTGGCACACCCTGTAATGTAAACAGCTGAGTTCAATACTAGATTTTCATTGGCACACCCTGTAATGTAAACAGCTGAGTTCAGTACTAGATTTTCATTGACAAACCCTGTAATGTAAACTGCTGAGTTCAGTACTAGATTTTCATTGGCACACCCTGTAATGTAAATAGCTGAGTTCAGTACTAGATTTTCATTGGCACACCCTGTAATGTAAACTGCTGAGTTCAGTACTAGATTTTCATTGGCACACCCTGTAATGTAAACAGATTTTCATGGCACACCCTGTAATGTAGTAAACTGCTGAGTTCAGTACTAGATTTTCATTGGCACACCCTGTAATGTAAACTGCTGAGTTCAGTACTAGATTTTTATTGGCACACCCTGTAATGTAAACTGCTGAGTTCAGTACTAGATTTTCATTGGCACACCCTGTAATGTAAACAGCTGAGTTCAGTACTAGATTTTCATTGGCACACCCTGTAATGTAAACTGCTGAGTTCAGTACTAGATTTTTATTGGCACACCCTGTAATGTAAACAGCTGAGTTCAGTACTAGATTTTCTGGTGCTGCTGTTAGATCATTTGTATTCAGTCTAAAGTTTAGGCTTTTTTCGTCGAAAAAATACATTTCGGTTTTAGTCTAATTTTATGGAAAGCATGCAGTTTCTAAACAGAAATTAGATTCATGTTAAGCGGTGTTTCAGTAAAATTGGTATTTCACCAACAGCAAAGTTGGTTCGTTGCAAGACGAGTACTTACTCATATCAACGATAACATATATAAATTAAACTAGCGTAAACTTGCACTTTACACTCCTAACTACAGTTTATATACTCCACAAGGTCAGAAGAATATTAAGAGCCTCGTTACTTTAACTATTTCAACTGATAATTTTAAGTACAGGGTGTCCAAATGCATTTGTAATCTGATCATTTATAGTTACAGGGTGTCCAGCATATGTAATCTAAACACTTTAAGTACAGGGTGTCCAATGCATTAGTAATCTTATAACTTTAAATGCCGGGTGTATGTAATTTGATAACTTTATATAGTGGGTGTCTCATCATATGTCATCTGAAAAATTTAAGAACAGGGTGTATGAGATTTTATCAATACACTGAAAACGACTTTTATAAATAATGCTTTGATCGCTGACAAGCATTTTTCAAGTTACGAGTTTATAAGTAAACAAGGATTAACTGTTAATTGACAACCCTTCTTTGTTAAGATACTTGTTCATGTGTCTCTGCTGTTTAACAGACTGGTATAACATTTAAATAGAAAGACGTCTTTAATGTCTTGAGATACACGACAACAACTGTATCTAGTCCAAAAATGAAAGAAAAAGGTTTCAAAATATATGAATGTAAATAGATTATTTAAAAAAATTGTTGGTCAATATCTACTAATGCTCAGTATTCTAAGTGCAGGGGGTCCCAAATTTTAAGTGAAATGTGAAGGTCGTAGGTGTACCAAAATGTAAATGATAATGTTAAAGGGACTGTAAAGGAAAAAATCATGAAATAGGGTATAGGATGAAACCTGAGAATCTCAGGCGTTAAACGATACATATAAACATCTATCTGATGTTCCTGTCTCGAGAAATTTTGCAATTTTGTATAAAAGTTGTAGTATTAAACAGATCATATTCAATAAATACGCAACCTATCTGAAAACGACGATATCCCACTGGAGCCTGAGAATCTTAGGTTTGCTCCTATAATAATTTTTTCATTTTTATTTTGCATTTTAATAGATAAAATTGGTAATATTATAACATTTAGTCCATATAGTCCGTATTATGTCTCCAGAACTTCAGCCAATGGCAGCGCAGTATACTGGTCACGTGATTTCGGTCTGTATCACGTGACAACGATACAGCACTGCCATTGACTGAAGTTCTGGTGACGCAATACGGACTATATCTAATCATTTCATCAATTATATCTATTTAAAATGCAAAAGTATAAATAAGAAATATAGTAGGAGCAAACCTGAGATTCTCAGGCTCCTGTGGGATATTATCGTTTTCAGATTGGTTGCGTATTTATTGAATATGATCTGTTTAATACTACAACTTTTACACAAAATTGCATATATATAAATTTTCGTATAATTTTGACACAGTTTTATATCAATTTCCCGAGACAGTAACATCAGATAGATGTCTTATATGTATCGTTCAAAACCTAAGATTCTCAGGTTTCATCCTATACCCCCTTTCATTTTTCCTTTAAACTCCCTTGAAGGAAATGAATTATTTTATATTTCTGATATCTATAAAAAGATGTCCCACAAAAGGAATTGACTATAATGACGACCTAACCCCTTAGATAATGTGTAAATTTGGTTTTCTATTTAGAACATTTTTATTTAATAATTACTCGAAGGGAAAATAAGTTTACAGCTAAAGGGAACCATGAATAAAGAAAATGCAGATATTAAAAAGTCTATTTCTTTGTAGATAACCCTGTATCTTCAATTATAAAATACAATAGAAACGTCTGACCTCTATTAAAGAAATTAGACAAAATATATTTTCGGAAAAATACATTTAGTTAATTTGAAACAAATAAGGAAGGATTGAGATGATTGACAGATTATACGCTTGCTTAAACAATAATAATATCATCTCTAGGGTTTCCGCCGGGATTCCGGGTTACAGTTCAGTTTCCATTATGGAAACTGTTTACATAAACATATACACTTATATTCTCCGGCCTTTAAACTTGTTAAGTACAACGTATTTCATACTCAAGTTTCTTTTAAAATAGTCCACCAGGGAATAAGTATAAAGTTAATGGAAATGTCACCATGGTTCGGCATGAGATAGCCAATCGCAATGCTTTTCAGACGGGTTCCTTATTTTTAGCATATGCGCCCAAAACCCTACAGTCAAGAAAGGTGCAGAAAAATGTCGTCAATTAAAATTAGGCTTGAATCACGAATACTTTAATATAAATATTAATCAAATTATATTTTTTGCGTCAAAATTTCGCTGATAGTGTTGACTTAAATATGTATATTAATTATTTACAACTAATATACCTGCAGTTTTAGGGAATTTTACTTTACCAAGGGTTCCCAAGACCAATATTATCTACAAAACATCCAGAGCGCAGCGCATCCTGTGGTTAAGTAAAATTTTAAGTTCCCGAAAAATAGTCTTATACAATTGTATCGTCTTTTGAGAGATTATGCGCTTAATTTTTTGCAGAACGGGTAGTTATTTTACGTAACTGTCCTAAGGGACGTTAAGTAACCTATCCTCCCTCTGTTGGGTAAATCATAGGTCGGTAATTTTGGTCAAAAGGAGGTAAATTAAAATATATGTATACAATACAATACACAAATTATATTCTCCTAAACTTCTTTTGTACTATAATTGTTTTAATCTGGAACATTATATCTACAGTACCAGTATTCAGTTTCTTATTAATCATTAACAGACGCACACTTTGGTACGGACGCACAAACATGACGTTTCCCCTCCCTGTAGTCCACTAAACAGTAGTTCCCTACTTTAACACTATACATCAGTGTACACTGTACAGAGACATCAAAGTTCCTAATCCTACCACACAAAACTGCCCTTGGTAAAAGTAAATTCAACCTATATGAAGCATAAAGTCTGACCGCTTCAACCTTGTTGAAACCTTGTCCTATCTGTCCATAGAGCTAGCTAAAGTACAAACCGGGACCGGAAAGGTTGACCCGACTCGAAAATTCAAATGTACTACGGCTGCCCATACATGCTACACTATTCCCCTTTTTCTGCCATACCTTAGAAATTTAGAATAATTTAAATGGTAATCAAAGGCCGGAAAAGAAGGCGTAAATTCAACTTCAAGTTCGACCCTTTAACACTAGCTTTGTAAGGTGTTTTAAATATGAAAAATATTAATATTTACTTTCTAAAAGGAGCGAAATATAGAATTTTACATCAAACTTTTAAAAACTGGCGTTGGGCACAGAATATTCTGGGTTTTCGTGGAATATTGTATATAGGCTAGCTTACTGTTAAACTCCAGATTTAAGGCAATTTGGACACCATTTCAGAATATAAGCTCTCTGATCACTTTGATCAGCAAAAAGTTAAATACCATTGTAAATATTCCCTTTAATACCTCCTAAATGAAAATTAATTATCAACACACCCCATCTTTTCCGCAGCAAAACAAGCCAGAAAACTGTGAAACGTTTGTCATCTTCATTTTTTTATCATGTAGAAATGTTGTAAAGTAATTTGTAATTTAGATTTGTTATTGCCTTTATATTCCAGGACACATTTTAAAAAAAGTCCTTGGCGACATTTCAATATATTAAAAAAAACATATTTACCCCATATTTCTGGGATACCACTGTAGCTGTTGTTTGGTTTGCGTGTAAAAAGTTTATGTTTTGATGAAGATTAAAGTATTAATTTAGGATTCTGCGTTTTATTTTTTTTCATTTACATTTATCTTTTATTAAATACAATATTATTAAAAGCTTTTCTGGTGAAAATCTGACGTAAAACAGGGTTCTAAAAAAATGACAATTGGAAACGATTTGAAGTCGTCTTTATCTTTGAAATAATTTGCAGCATTCATTTGTGAACCTAGTTTTACAAGTATGATTGTATGTTGAATCAAATAATTATTAAATTCAACCAAATTGTTCGCCAATGGCGTAATGTTGTGGGTAATAATTTTGGTAAGGGTAAAATTTATGCATCATGTAATAAAAGGAAAGTTGTCAAGCATGCAATTTTAAAATAAGATTTACATCTGAAATCTTTCTGAAGCTCTAAACACTCTCAATATTTACAAATGGACATAAAAATATATTTACTAGATACACCCTGTATTTTTGATGAAGGATTGAGAGAAAAGAGAGAGAAAAATTATCCATAATTGGATCTCCAACTGTTTCTAAGATCTACATTAGTATACGTGTATGTCCCCTGGGTTAGATGGCCTGTTTAGCATCAACCAAAGAACAGAATATTGAAAGTACGTCGAAAAGTTTTACTATGTTATAATTTTGCTAATTTAAGTTGAAATCCTCTGCAAGAAATCCACATAGTTCTGAAATTTGATCAATACTGTTTTTTAATCTGTCCTTCGACGAACATGACTAAAACTTCCGCCATTTTTTAAAATTTGAACACGTCGAAGAGATGCTTACTGCTCAATTCGACAATTTTAAACGTAACCTCAAAATATCAAACTATCAAAAATAGAATTGATAATTTCCATAATAATTGAAACTTTTTCTTTGTTTGCAGTGTTTAAGACAAAGTATACTTTTCCAAAAAATGTCGAATTGTTTTATCTTATTAAAGGGACTGTACTCTCCATTAATAGAGTGGTTTATCCGACTCCAACGCTACTGTGAAAACCTATGTCTGATCAAAGATGAATTGATGAATCTCTAGAAATTCACTATTTCAATGGTGGTTACCAGACGACAAAAGTAGCTTGCGCAATTCTCTTAAATAACAACTATGAGAAAATTATCAGATTTAACACTTTTTAATCTAGAAAATTATCAGATTTAACACTTTTAATCTAGAAAATTATTAGATTTAACACTTTTTAATCTAGAAAAACGACAATGTCTTTCACATTATTGGTTAGATAAAGATTTACAGAATATATTTATTGGGGTTTGGACAAACCCTTTCTTTAAATGGAGAGTTACTTGAAATTAAAACGATTATCCCTTTAAAGCAGTTGAACTAAAGGTGCCCTAATCAGTTTACTGTAGAATTTTTGCAAAATTTTTCATCGTATTTTTGAATAGTTTTTTAAAAACTGATTTTCAAATTCATCCCTCAAAATTGGACAATGGGGAGATTTTGAAGATTGAATTTTCGGCCCTACTAAACAATTATATACTGTAAAAACGTCTCAAATGAAACTTGAAAAATTCTCTATTATACTGCACTTTCAGCTTAACTTCCAGGTCTAGCCAATCTCTCCCTTTCTGAGGGCTGAGATATATATTTAAAAACTAATTATTAATAAGATCAGCCTTGTGGCGAAAACTGTTTTTTGAATTAAACCTAAGAGCGGTCTTAAATAAAACTCATGGTATTTTCCCCGTAGTCCCCTAACTTCCCCTTTTCTCTTTTTTTTTTCTTTTGATAACAACTAATTAATTGCCCCAGCTTTAAAGTTGCTTATTCTAATGTATGTGCATTGTGCAACCTTATGTTGCATATCTTTGATATTTAAATTATGAATTCTAATGGTTAAAATTTGAAATTTTAATGGTTTACAACAACTGATTGCCAAGATATAAGTTTGTGGTGAGTAATCACTTTATTTTCATGATGAAAGATGTTTTAAGTAAGCATCTGTAGATGACAAACACAACAGGATCCATCACCAAGTCAGGTATAATTAAAGGGACTGTGAACCTAATTTAATTTGTAGATTTGTTAAGTTGAATTCACAACGGTATCCTACCATTGTCAGTAGATGGATCGGGTCGGTTGAACATATATACGTTGTTAGCCTTTTTAAGAAATGATTCTTTTAATATGTATTTTTACTAATTTATTGCAAATAATTCTACAGTTTTAACCTTATCCTGCAAATAGGGAAAATTAGAGGGTAACATTTACTCTACATCACTGATGTCTTTGTGACTTCGTAGCTCCTTTAGTTTTAATTTGTTGCATAAGTATGAGAATAGAAAATTTATCCTGTTACCTAAAATAAATTTAAAACATTGATGTATTTCTTAATAGCTGTTACTTAAGAGATATTATAATTGAAAACATATAAGATTTCAATCAATTATGCAGTTTTAAGACCAGGCCAACTTTCCAGTGTCGCTGAGCCTCTGTCCTGGTTTTCTTCATGTCGGCCAGAAAATTAACCTTTATATCTTTAGTTTCTATCAATTCAGTACAAAAGGAGTAATGGGCAAAATCCTGCTAGATGTATGGGTCAGATCGTTCAAATTAAAGCGTACGCAAAAAATATTAGCTGGCTTTAGTCTCTCAAAAGCATTTAGACTCTATGCCATGTTAAGGTGATGAGGGGTCTACGCTAGAGGTGCTAACTGCAATATTCCTGATAGCGTTGTGTCTAAGTGCTGCTGTTCCTGCCCCACTGACAGCATGGAAGTTTGTCAAGAATCCGGATCTCAGGACTCCACTCAATATATTCAAGGTCCTGAGCCTTTTGTATTAACAAGATTATCAACATAAATGTGTCCTAATTAATTGCATAAAATTGCAGAAAATGAAAGGGGGTATAGGCTGATCTTAAATTGAGTTCAGTTTTGACTGTTTTCTAGTTCTATCTGTTGTATATGGAAGAAAAGGGTTAAAAACCCTTAAACCCAAGCGAGTAAAACCCATATAAATTCATGGAGTTGCAGTGTTCCACCTAAACCATAAATAAGTCAATTAACTTTTAAATATGTATAGGTTAGAAAAGCGTGTATTTTTTAAAGAAAGTGCAGCAAGCGTAATTTCAAGTGACCCGCCTTGCTAAGATAGCAATGTGAGATTTAGCTAAGTGCTCTTTATATACTGCGCCATGAATATGAGCATCCTTAATATTTGTACCCTATCTAAATGTTTTGTCATTTATTTGTCCAAATAGAGTCTTAATCCAGAAATGTTCACATTCCTTAATTTTTAGCTGAACTTTCTGCTGGGAACTGCGTTGAACTTAGGTATGGCCCCGTTGAGGGTTTTTGAGAGTCCAAGTTTAGAACCAACGTAAGTATCTACATAAATACACTGTCAATAATTTGGAATTAGATTCCGATATTTGTGGAAAAAAGAACATTCATGTGTGATTCAAGAAACCAGATTCTAATTTTTATAAAAGTATTTTCTGAAAATGATTACTGTTTATAGTGCAAGGAGGACAACATTGAAGCATCTGTTAAGACTGTTTTTGGGAAGTTCCATAAAGAAAATGGTTTCACCTGAGCCTGAAATTTTTATTTTACATTTCTTTGTTATTGCATTTTATCAGCCAACCCACTCGAATTTCCCTGGAAGGGGCTGGTTCATTTGGTTTGCTATCCTGTTTTTTCTGGTATAAACCGTGCAGTTTACTGCTCTCTCTAGCTGGTTAGATGTCAGTCTGGTTTTTTAAACAAAGGGCCGTTTATAATAGATAATCCAAAAATACTTTTGTAGATTGTGTCTGTTGACAATGGTTAACTATGTGACCGGTTTGCAGTCCAAGTTAAACATTCTCATCCTGGAGGTTGACAGATTTACAGCTATACAGTAAGTTCAGATATGTGCATTGTTGAAATTATAAACATGAATATGAATGTAAGCTTCAGATATCCTATTAATTAAATTCATAATTGAGAAAAAACATTTTTGTAAATTCTTTTGATTGTTTGTTATCATTGATAAAATGTTAGGGCGTGTTTTAGCAGTGTTTTGGGTTAACATATATTTGGATAACATTGGATATTTTTTAAACTGAAATGATTATCTGATTAAATTTGATTTTATTTGACTTTTCAGGTTTCCTCTTGTTCATTATGATGTTGTTACAACTAGAATGTCAACAATAACCTGGTTTGTTCTAATCATAAAACAGGGAAATTTAAAAAGGAATTATGATCAAGTTACTAGAAATACATAGGGTAAATATTGACAGTGCATTAAATACTAACCTCCCTCTAACTAAATTTGTATTTACCTAGAAAATATTTACCCTTACACTTGTGTTGTAAGTTGTAGGTTGTGAGTTCAATTTGAATTTTCAATATCTCGATACACTTTTTTGTATGCCTTCTGACTTTAAGAAACATTTTTGCAAAAACTGCTGATGCCCCCCATCCCCTTGAATGTGATAATGTGCACATAGCTTTAATTAACCCTATAAATCAGTATTGCTGCATCTGGTGTGTGTTTGCTGGTTGGTCTTCTTGTTCTTATATTTTCTCCTCAGCAGTTCTACTGTCCACAATACCAAACAGGGTGCTACCTTACCACCTCAGTGTTCAGGTATACCTTTTCCCAAAAAGCAAGTTAGAGATTGAAAATCCAATTTAACATTATCAATAAGTAAAAACCATGCTGGAGGTAGCAATGTACAACAACCAAGTCTACTAGCAATTATAATTATTAAAGAGAAAAGATTATTAATGATGTTGATATTGTACCTGGAACATTTTTAGACAGTTGTTACAATCCAGTTGACAAACTTGGTAATGACCAGCTTTCCCTGATCATATATGATCATTGTTAACAAAAAAGTTGAAAATAATCTCTGGGAAAAAGTGCTGCCTATAATTATTTTGTAGGTATGGTTTGGTGTATCCCTTCCTAGTGATTACAGCCATATCTGCAGCTTTGTCCTTCACAACTTTCAGGTTTAGTAAAGCATTTATTGCCTAAAATACAACAACATGTTGCAAAGAACATGAATACCTTAAACTTAGCAATTTCTGCCTTATTCATGGTAAAAAGATTTTCAAGTAGATATGGACCAATTATATACACCGTCACAAGTGTCAAATATAATAAGGAAATGAAAATGTCTCACATTAGTTGACATGTTTTCCAAGATTAAATAAAAAAATGTAAAAATAGAAGATAAAAACACATAATATTGCACTTATTTTACTGTATGAAAAGCACTTTGTTCTGAAAGTATCATTATTATTAATAATTTTGTTCAAAACAAAAACCAAGTTGACACTTGTGACATAAGAATACAGCTGTCCTGAGAGTGTACAAATTCTACGTTGACATCTCCAGAATCTATTTGGTATTTAGTTTCATTTAGATAATATTGAAATGTTTAGAATAAGTCTGAAGGTAAAGAGAAGCATGCAGCAAGTGCAACCAGTCATCTTTCCCTCACAACAGCAGCATAGGCCAAAGGTAAAGATTAAATTTCAAGTTTCAATTAATTAAACATTACCATGATGTTTAAATTTACATTTTTTTCTAATTCTTACATGATCTCACAGCAATGTATAGTTGAGCTATTTAAAGAACTTGCGTTGGTTTCGGCTTTCTGTTGAGGATCTTGAGAATGAAGAACCAAGGAGAGACTCATTCAATAATCTAACCAGAATAGATGGCAAAGAACAAAGGGTATACCCCGAGGTTTATGATCAAACACAGGAGAATATCCAAGATGAAGGAGACCTAGTTGTTGAGGATATGGAAAACAATGGAGGAACTAGTGATCTGACAAGGGAATATGTAGAAACTGTTGATGGAAGAAGATGCCAAGCATCTATGATCTCAGACCAGGCCTTCGGAGAGCTTGAGTTGAGGAGGGAGCACATCACCCCAAGAAATACACAACAGGAGGTAATAGATTTAGGGGGCAAATTCTTTAATTTCTAATCAAAATCTGTGCCTTTTGAGCTTTATACATGAAATACCTCTTCAAAAGATTTCTTAAATTTTTTGTGGGGAACTTTCATTGTATTTTTCAATTCAAAATTAAATCAACTAATTCAATAGTGTAAATATTTGTTCAGTCACCACCAAAACAAAAAATCCAGCTAAAAAAAGAAATGACTTACTTGGCCGGATAGATAAACTTCTAAATCTGATCAGCTGATTGCCTACATTTAATGAAACAAATTACAAGCTACTGGTCTAATTTCTTCAATATCAAATGTCAAATCATCAATAAAAACTAGTACAAAATAAATTGACCTTTTTTTCAAGCAAACATAACTCTGTTTTGATTGAATTTAAAGTGAAAGTTATAATTGAACAGTTTTGAATTGAAAAACTAGAATTACCAATAATGCCTTTGTTATGAGATGTGGATGTATTCTTATCCAAACTATGCAGAGCAATGACTCTATGCAAATTTTGTATAACGCTATGTAAATTGCTTTGCCGTGAGACAGAATGCAAATTTTAAAAGTACATATTTCCCATTATTGTATATTATAAGTTTTATTATTTTTGGAATAAGCAAACTGCAAAGAATGAAAATAATGAATGATATTTTGTTCAATCTGGTAGCAGGAAAACTTTTTTTGAAACCCCTTTTTATTTTGTTCTATTTCATATAAGATTGTGCAAACCTCTGAAGGTGCTCCTGCAACAGAACATTCAGGTATTTCTTTTTAGCAAATTAACCGTATAGAAACCATCCAAAAGGTTTATTTTAAAAATTACAAAATAATTTATCAAAAAAAGTTCTTTTCCAGAGGAACACAGCGAAGTAATGGAAGGCCTGCAGAAATGGTAAGTGATTTCATTAACAATATTTTAAAGCATGTTTTGGTTGAACTTTTTTAATTAAAATCACTTTATGTCTGCATTTTTGAGAAACTAAAAATTGGTAACTTTGGTTCACAAAATATTTATAGGCTGAAGGACAGTATTAGAATCAACATGTTGGTTCTTCTCTACACATCCATCACAATCCCCATCTACATCCCCACCCTGGCCTGCTCCTACCAGGACTGTGATCAGGAAACTCAAGGTTGTGTGTTTCAGGTAACATGATCCCCTGTATTTCCAGTGGAATGGAAAAATTTTTGCTTGCCAATTTTTAGTTTTGTCGCAAATTCCGCATTTTTGCGCATTCCCCATGCATTAGAATTGTGCAAACTTCAGCATTCGGGGGTAAATTCCATGATAATTTGTTTCCGCACAAAAAAACGGAATTTGCCCGATACAAAAAATTGCAAATTTTACAAATAAACTAAACACAGGAAAACATTATCAATATAAAATATGAAAAACTTTAATACTGGATGGTAAGTATAAAAGCAAAGATTTCCATACTGTAAAAAAAAATCTTCAAAATTTTGATGAAGCTGAAACCGCATTTTTTTTTTGCGGGGTATACCGAATGTACCCATTATTTCAGGCAAAAGATTAAATATATCACTTCTTTTTTCAATTTTTTCTGACACAAGAATCCCTTTTAAACCTGTTTTAGTATGTGCTTAAATACTGGGCCCCTGTAAACCTGCTGGGACAGCTAGCGTACTGCTATCTCATCACTCTATCTATCAAAATGTAATCTTTCAACACTTTGAAAATAAAAAATAACAGATTTGTATATATTTTAGATGATGAGTACAATTAACATGGTTTAAACTTTCACACATTTTAAAACCATGTTTATTTTTAAATTTTATTACATGAATCAATAAAAACTACAGTGCAACTCATATATATACAGGGTGAGTAAAAAAAAAGTGTGATTAGTGGCGCCTGGTGCAAAATTGTACCTTTTTTTGTGCAGCTCTCCTGTATCATGTTTTCAATATTTTTTGAATTTTTTTCATCTCTTTTGGTATTCTGATGGCTCAAAAAAAAATTTCGCGAACCTTGTTCTCTCAAAATCAAAAGTTCAGAATAGCAAAATATGTGATTATAAATTATTTCTATCAAAATCTGAAATATTATAAAGATCGAATCACAGAATCATAGAATTTCAAATCAAATCAAACCAAATCAAATCATTTATTTGACCACAAGTAGAGATACATACTAATTAAGTAATTAACAATTATAACCTGTTATAAACATATTGTGGCTGGGGAGCTACAAGATAGCTCAGATTTAGACTCAGACAAGAGCCCCCAGGGTCCAGTTTATGATTAGATTCAATCAATGACGAAGTGAAGTGGCGGTGGCGGTTGGAGAACAGTAGGCGGAGACAATAGCGTCAATTTAATCAGTCAGAAATACAGAGAATTTTAGTCTCAATAATGTAAAGGATTTAATCAAGAAATATTATTAATATATGTTATTCAAATCAGTACAAGAGATAAAAAATAAGCTATATATTTGTTTAGACACGGATACATATATATGATACTCAATATATGTATCAAAAATGTATTAATAAAAATATGAACAAATATTATTTAAGACCTTGGAAACCCCAACCTAATCTAAGAAACAAGAGTTGAACAAGTATTGCAAAATAGCCGGTTGCATTAAAATATTGATAATCTATCCAGAAAATGTATTTTTAGTTTATGTTTAAATTCATTTCTGCTAGCAATACAAGACAATGCTGGGTAAAGTTCTTTCCAACAGGAAGTGAAAGAATACGAAGGAAATCTGTTAATAAATAAATTTTTACTTGATGCATCTCAAAATCTAAATTCCCGGGGACAAATGGCTCCATAAAGAAAGAAGGAGGGGCGTAACTAAATGCCATGGAGAACATGAACGAAAGTTTTTGACGAAGAATAAGGTCCGGGAACGGGAGTATTTTTAATTCATAAATTGAGGTTCAGAATGAGCATTTTATCTAGATTTAGCAATTGTTTTAATACATCTTTGGGAAGGGAGTCATAAAAGTAGGTGGGATGGGTGTCCTATAGGTGGGTGGAAGGGGTGTTCTTGAGGTGGTTGAGATGGGTGTTCACCTCCAAGACACTCAAAAACTTTGCCTCAGGTTAAATTTCCCTCCCCTTAACTGTGCATGGTTCAATACTTGAGTATCTTTAACTTTACAGGCTTAAAACCGCAGCTATAGTCAATTAAGCAATTAAGAACATTATCAAGGAGTTACACTTAGCAGCCGTTAACTTAACGAAGTCAATTAATCTCAAGAATTTTACCAAATTTTGCCGCTAACATTTACAAAAATGGTGCTGAATCACAAACTGAAAATGTTCGTTGTTCCTTCACTTTTTTTAAGTCAAGGGAAACCATTATTATTATTAAAGTTTATTTCGCACACAAAAACAAAACAACAAATGAAATCAAAAAGATACATTATTTAAACGAGGCCCTCATGTAAATATAAAATATCACTTGTTAGCCAATATATAAAAACTAATTAGCTCGTTAAATTCATTCACAATATCAACTGAGCAGGAAAATATAGAATAAGATACCTGTAATCCCGACTGCTTAATACGAATATCCAATGTGGACACTTTAAATTTATGCTTACTCGAACCTTTTTTGGATAAAATAAAGTATAGAAAAATAAAAAACCGGTTTTTCAAAATTAGAGAGTCTCTCCTGTTTCTGTATATTAAACTTAAATGCGGGCAAAATTTCAAATTTCCCGGCTTCTGATGCGCGACTCTGATTGGTTGAATTTTATACACTTTTCATGATATAAGTACATTATTAGGTTAGTCTCAAGATTTAGACAAAGAGAGGATCAAGAATTAATCTCGATATCCACCAATATAAAGTTTCCAGCTCTGGTATCTTTGAAAACGTCAAATTTAACAAATTGCAATTGAATAAGTATAATAAAGTAAATATAGTATAAATAATAAGTATATAAATAATAAATTATAATAATAAATAAAACGAATATCTTATTTTTGACGTTCCATCTTTCAAGCATCTAAAAATAGGCTAATTTTAAAACATGATATGTCCTACCAACCTAAAAAATTTATGTTTGAAAAACGAATTTTATCTAATAAATGTTTAAACATACACTTGTAAATCGGGCATGGAGGGGCATTTGAATGTTCAACGAAAGTCCCATTAATAATTTTGTTCAAAAGTACAAATCATTTGTTATCTTGTTAAAAACATTGCAGGATACCTTGATTCCAGAAAATTATATCATAGTCATTTCTAAAACAACTTGGTTAACCAGATTTTAGAATGCATAAAAAAATTATATAGTTAACAGTGTCAGTTGTATACATTTAATATTGGCCGGTCCCATATAGTTAACAGTGTCCAGTTGTATGCATTTAATATTGTCCGGTCGCATATAGTTAACAGTGTCAGTTTTATATAGTTAATATTGTCCGGTCGCATATAGTTGACTGTGTCAGTTGTATACATTTAATATTGTTCGGTCACATAAAGTTAACAGTGTCAGTTGTATATAGTTAATATTGTCCGGTCGCATATAGTTAACAGTGTCAATTGTATATAGTTAATATTGTCCGGTCGTATAAAGTTAACAGTGTCTAATTCTATATAGTTAACATCGTCCGGTCGTATAGTTAACAGTGGCAGTTGTATATAGTTAATATTGTTTGTTCGTATATATTTAACAGTGTCATTTGTATAGTTAATATATTCTGGTCGTATATAGTTAACATTGTCCGGTCGTATATAGTTACTAGTGTCCAGTTGTATATAGTTAATATTGTCCGGTCGCATAAAGTTAACAGTTTCAGTTGTATATAGTTAATATTGTCCGGTCGCATATAGTTAACAGTGGCAGTTGTATATAGTTAATATTGTCCGATTGTATATAGTTAACAGTGTCCAGTTGTATATAGTTAATATTGTCCGGTCGCATGTAGTTAACAGTGTCAGTTGTGTATAGTTCATATTGTCCGCTTGCATATAGTTAACAGTGTCAGTTGTATATGGTTAATATTGTCCGGTCGCATATAGTTTACAGTGGCAGTTGTATATAGTTAATATTGTCCGGTCGTATATAGTTAACAGTGTCCAGTTGTATATAGTTAATATTGTCCGGTCGCATATAGTTAACAGTGTCAGTTGTATATAGTTAATATTGTCTGGTCGAATAAAGTTAACAATGTCTAATTCTATATAGTTAACATTGTCTGGTCGTATATAGTTAACAGTGGCAGTTGTTTATAGTTAATATTGTCCGGTCGTATATAGTTAACAGTGTCCAGTTGTATATAGTTAATATTGTCCGGTCTTATATAGTTAACAGTGTCCAGTTGTATATAGTTAATATTTTCCGGTCGTATATAGTTAACAGTGTCCAGTTGTATATAGGTAATATTGTCCGGTCGTATTATAGTTAACAGTGTCCAATTCGATATAGTTAACAGTGTCCAGTCCAGTTGTATAAAGTTAACATTGTCCAGACGTCGTATATAGTTAACAGTGTCCAGTAGTATATAGTTAACAGTGTCCAGTAGTATATAGTTAACAGTGTCCAGTTGTATATAGTTAACAGTGTCCAGTCCAGTTGTTTATAGTTAACAGTGTCCAGACGTCGTATATAGTTAACAGTGTCCAGTAGTAGATAGTTAACAGTGTCCAATTGTTTATAGTTAATAGTGTCCAGTCTTATATAGTTAACAGTGTCCAGTTGTTTATAGTTAACAGTGTCCAGCTCGTATATAGTTAACAGTTCCCAGTCATTTATAGTCAACAGTGTCCAGTCGTATATAGTAACAGTGTCTAGTTGTTTATAGATAACAGTTTCCAGTCGTTTATAGTTAACAGTGTCCAGATGATATATAGTTAACAGTGTCCAGTCGTTTATTGTCAACAGTGTCCAGTCGTATATAGTTCACAGTGTCCAGTCGTATATAGTTAACAGTGCCCAGTTATTTTATAGTTAACAGTGTTCTATCGTTTATAGGTAACATTGTCCAGTTGTTTATAGTTAACAGTGCCCAGTCGTATATAGTTAACACCCATAAATATATATATAAATATACATATATGTTATGTACGTACATATATAAATATACATATATGTTATGTACGTACAACAGAACAGACTTTGTCTGACTAAAGATTATATAATGGTTTTTAAATACCCAAAATGTAAGCTTTTGCACGAACAAGTGAGGAGGGGGGGGGTTGAGGGCGGAAGACTGTACTATTTATATATAATCTATAAATTCTGCCCAATCATCCATAAATAGTTCCTGCTCCTACAAACTATCTGATAATTAGAACAGTAGGAATCCAGGGCTATACTGCAGCCTTATCATACAGATGGATTTACGATATATAAATATACAGTGGGTTTCAAAAACAAAGTCGTAGGTATGAGGCCTTGATTTAGCTTCAAGTTTATAATGATGTATCATTTTTCATATTTGGACATAAAACATGGGATTTAGAGGGGGGGTCAAATTGACCCCCCCCCAGCTGGTTTTCAAGTACCCCAGCAGGGATAGGGTTAAAGTAATCCAAATCACTCAAACTTAATTTTTTTTTTTTAACCAATGAGAAAGCTTTTACATTTAAAGTATTAGCTTTGGATAAGGCTAATCGTAAAATAAAATAAACCTTTCCTTTTTCATGTAAGTTTAAACAAAGCTTAAAAATGTTCAATATTTATTTTCTTATTATGAATACATTACAAGAACAGTACAATAGTGATTTTCAAAGAAACAATTGAACAAATTTAAGGTTTGATTGAAAGTGAGATGAGATAACAGTAGAGAAGCCTTGCAACCATATTAAAAGGAGCCCAGTAGAACAGGACATACTAAAATATGAAGATTTAATTAAATTATTATAGAAACCAATCCTAAAACACCCATACGTCCACTAATGTTCCTTCATTTGTTTGTCGTTTTTTGGCTTTTTTTTCTTTCAGGGTCAAAATTTTCCAAGTGTACATTAATTAAATGTGTTTGAAATTGTATCGGCTAAACATTTCATTTTCTTATAAAATGCCAAAATGTGACCCTTGTAGAAGTTAAATTCAAAAACTACCAAAAAATATTCAAAAAAACAATGCAAAAATGGATATCTTGTAAGAATTGTTTTGGATCGTTTTTCAATTTTTTTCAGAATTAAGATATTGCAAAGTGTAACATTTAAAGCATTGGTTACTCATACTAAACTCCCCACACCTCGCCTGTCTCTCTCTTTGATCTAGAGTCAACGCAGAATATAGAACCTGAAGATTGAACAGTGCACCCCAGATCTTTCTAGAATACTGACGTAGAGTTTAGTCTCCTGTTTGTAAAGACAGATTAGACAATTAACAGATAGCTAACAGTTTGATGGATCCTTAACATGCCTACTAGAGAACACAATAGGCCAACAGCCTCTTCCCCATCATTATCCACGAATTTATCCTCAGATTCCTCATCAAGAGATCCATCTCCTTCAGTTTCTGGGACTGGACCGATTGCTCTCCCATAAGGATACAGAGGAGAACTAGGAGATCCAAGATACACTCATTCTCATCAAGAGATTTGTATCCTTCCGTTTCTGGGACTGGGCCAATCACTCTTGTACCAATCTGTCTAAACTACCCATAAGAAGAGAACTAGGAGATCCAATATATACCCAGTCTCATCAAGAGATTCATCTCCTGTAGTTTCTAGAACTGGATCAAATGCTCTCATGCCAGCCGTCTAAACTACACACTAGGATATCCCAGATACAGAGAGGAACTAGATCTTCAAGATAAAGAGGAGAACTAGGCAAATCCTCAAGATTTATATCTGTAATTGTGATCGATTGAATAGCTTTAACCATTACAAAAGTTTAATACTAGTACATTTTAACATAATACAGTTCTTTAGAGTTTTGTTCAAATCTTTTAAAAACAATCCAGAACAAATGACAAGACTACCTGTACTCAAGAGAAGGGGTGTGAATAGTTTTTAAAAACAATCAAAAAATGATCCTTTTTTAATTTTTTCGTCTTTGTTTTTAAAAAGAAAAATCTTTTTTCAAAAAAGTGAACACAATCCATATTTTACACCAACATCAACATTTCATTCTCCCCCCCCCCCTTCCGTCATTCAATATTTTTACCCAAAAAAAAGTATTTTCTCTAATGCAGAAAAAAACATATACTTCTCTTGATAAATTAAATATCAAATTATTAAAATGATTTAAACTACTTTCAACGGTTTTTGAATTATAAGTCAAAACATGAATGAAAATATGACGACACAGACAGACATGTCTAAACTGTGCGTTGCTTTTAAAAAGTAGGATTTTAAAATTGAATGAAATACCTTGAAAATGCAAACTGGTGCTCCTTTTTCACAAGTATCATATGGACAAAAGAGTGAAGCTGTGTAGATTGGGAGATATATGAAGGTGAACAGTAACACCAGCATGTTTATCCGGAAACTATCTTTCAACCTGGACAACTTCAATCAAACATATTAGAACTGGGACCAAATTTAATGGAGTTGAGCTACATTGAAGAACTACCTACAGCCTGTTTAAATTTAAACCACTGATTAAGGAAAAACTTAAATTGGTGATTTAAATTTGAACCAGCAACGGTAGATGGTTAAAATTAGCTCCCTGAATGCATTTTTTTGCAATGGTAAAGCTTTCCACAGGGGTTTGGTCCATCACCATCACTGAATTTTAAAATATCAAATGCTGATTTTTTAAGTTTTAAATTTGTTTAGCAGTTTTGGCATTTATCAAATACAAAAAACAAATAGACAAATAGACAAGCTTTAGATATATAATACAGTAACAATTCTTTATATAGTCATTGCATCATAAAATAAAATTATGTTACCAGTTCTTGAGCTCTTCAGCAATCAAAACTAAAATATATCATGATGAAATATATGATGATCAAAGCATATAAATAATCTGAATTTGTCTCCATTTTCAGTTAAGAATTTCCCAAAGTTTCAGATCTTTCCGAAAAAGATTATCATAAAAAATATATGAAAATTCTGGTTTGGTTTCATTGAATTTGTAAATTAAGGTAGAGGCACTACCTGAATCTTGTTGTAAAGATCCATTGAGCCCAGAAAAGTTTCTCTCCTGTTGCCACATCTTAAAAATTAGTTGTTTGACATGTGTTTTATTTTAGTAAAATAAAGTACAAATACTGAAGATACCTGGGTATTTGGAACACTTCTAATATTCCTATTTCCAAAACCTTGATCTGCTTGCTGTGAAAAATATTGATGTTGCAGCCTCTCCTCAGCCTCAAAACCATCACCTGTCTTTGAATTGTTCTTTCTGTGCTGCTTGACAACCTCAAGAGAGTCACAAGAAGTCTTAGAAATATTTTTTCTCCAACTCTTGACAGTCTCAAGATCATAATTGTTAGTCTTTGTTATTTGCTTTATCTGTCTCTTGACAATCTGAAGATCACCAGTAGTAGTGTTTGACTTATTCTTTCTTTGCCTCTTGATAACCTCAAGATCGTCACAGCTAGTCTTTGTTATTTTCCTTCTTTGTCTCTTGATAACTTCAAGATCATCGCTGGTAGTTTTTGTTATTTTCCTTCTCTGCCTCTTGACAATCTGAAGATCACCAGTGGTAGTGTTTGACTTATTCTCTTGTTGCCTCTTGATAACCTCAAGATTGTCACAGCTAGTCTTTGGTATTTTCCTTCTTTGTCTCTTGATAACTTCAAGATCATCGCTTTTAGTTTTTGTTATTTTCCTTCTCTGCCTCTTGACAATCTGAAGATCACCAGTATTTTGACTTATTCTCTCTTTGCCTCTGGATAACTTCATGATCATTGCTGGTAGTTTTTGTTATTTTCTTTCTCTGTGTTTTAAAAACCCTCAGATCATGACTATCCATTAACATATGCAGTCTAGTCTGGTCTTCATTCTTGATGTTGTTTTCAATAGGAGCCTCTAACATATGCTGTCTCTGCTTCTTGAGAACCTCTAGTTCTTTATCCGGATTGTCTGCCAAATGGTGTTCCAAACTCAAATCATCAATATGATCTTCAAAACTGATATCAGACATGAACTGGATGTGCTTCTCAGCAGCCTTGAGCTCTTCTTCAGATATGTCAAAAGATTGATCCCTCTCACTGCCAGCAACATCAAAGTCTTCAACATTTATTATTGGAATCTGCTGTACCCTGTTTTTAGTAGCTTTTAATCCCTCTGTGGCAAGTTCTACCATCTTTTGCCCCTGCCTGCTCACAGCCCCAAGATCTTTTACTGAGTGTGGTGGCATCCGCATATCGTCCTTTCTAACTCTTTTTCCAGCTTCAAGATTCTCTGGTCTTGGTTGTCTGGAAAGCTTAATAGAAACTGGATGAACTTGCTGCATGCTTTTCTTTATTTTCAAGCTGATTCTAAATAGTTAAAATTTGCATTTAATTCTGGTAATATCTTCAAGAAAATACAATTACAACAACAAACCTGCAAGTCAGAAAGGATAATACTGCGGAAATAAATGAGATAACAAGGAAGGGATACACCATGCCGTACCTAGTCCATAAATATATATATAAAAAATATATTCCAGAGAATTATTGGCTGTTGGATTACTTCTGTGATTTATCATAATTATAATTTACAAGTCTTAAGTAGTTGTGTTGTTACACCTTTTTATCATCATTACCAACCCACGATTCTCACAACAGCGGGATCTAAGCTGTTTAACTGTTCCTTAAGACACATAAGCAGAAAAACATCCCCTGTGAAGAGTTTTCTATTTAAAGTGTAGCATTTTCATCTCGAGCAACGATTATTTTTTCAAAAATTTAGATTCTTTATTATGCACACAGGTTACCTTGTCCAGCTTTGCCAACACAATTGGTCAAGAGAGCCAAACAGGGAATGTAACCAGTTATTATAAATGTGTATGCAAACCTGAATACGGCAGTGGTAAAGTAGCACTCTGTGAATTGGTGAGGACAATGGAACTGTTCAGGAAATACTATGAGAACAAGGACTCCAATGAACAAGGGGAGAAGGCTGACTATTACACTGAACATTTAGTATTGACCTTATGGTCGAAAGTAGAACTAGTTCTTTGTTTGATCAGGCTTTTTAATCATGAGAGTTAATCCATTTAACCCATTTAGCAAAAATGATATTATTGAATGATATTATTTGTTATAATAGTATTGAATGCGATAATGAAAATAATTGAAAATGTATAAAACTGCCATACCATGTGATTATAGCTCTTTTTTCTGTCACAAAAGCGTGATGCAGTAAGGGGTACCTGAAACAAATGGCCTAAATTAGAAATGGGTGTGTTTGGTTTTTTTCATTTTGTTCAATCATTGTTTATGAATGGCTCATTAGGTTTGTTATTTTTTAAATTGTTCAAAAAATAATTGATTTCATTTGTTTTCAAAATTATCGTTCATTTTCTCTCTATTTTGTTTGTTTTGTCTCTGAACAATTGTATAGTAAATTGTTCAGAAAAATTGTTTGTTCAGAAAAAACGATTGCTTATTTAAAAGTTTTTTTTAAATTGTTAGTTTAGTAAAAATTTCAACATTTTTGTTAGTTCAAAAAACTATGCCCATTTTTACCCAAATATGGAAGATAATCACCAGCAAACAAACTAACTAAAGTTATTATTCATCTTTTTGATTTTAGTATTCTGTTACAGCTTGTTGCTTTATAAAATTCTCACTTCATAGCAGCAAACCGATCCACTTCAATGATTAGTATGTCTAGCTTAGCCTTCAAACTAGTCACGTAGCGGAGCATTATCACTGGACAAAACCTATGAAGAATATAGTTAAGCATGTAAAATGGTTAAACTAATCTTTACTTTTAATGGTACTCATCTGCTGTCTGGTGTAGGATAAACAAATATTGAAGTAGGAATTGTTGCCAAGCACAGAAGTGTTCCCAACAGGAAGTTTAGCTGGAAAGGGTGTTTTTTTTAAAAGTGAACGTATTTTTATTCAGATTTCAGTTATTATTATTGTTATAATTATTTGATCCTTAACATTTTCATATAATTATAAGTTATTGGATAATTTTGATCAAATAATTAACATTTTGAAGTAAGGAAGAAAGCAAGTTTTACTGAAAAAGAATCAGTTTAATTAAAGCATTTTTTACCCGCTTAAGATTTTTGGAGTTGTAAAATAAGCATTGATTACAAGTGGAAATGATCAAAATAAAATGTAAATGTGAATCATCCCCCCCCCCCCCCCTGCTTCCCTTTCTTAATGTTGGAGTCCAAAGGCTTTGATCTTTAATAAACTTCCATAAGGTTGGTGGGACTGGTATAGCAGCAAGTATACATACAATGCAAAGAGCAATAAACGATATCATTGCTGTCTTATCCAACCCATCATCTAAATTTTAAGAATATGTGTAAATTTATATTATAAGATGTATTCAGTTAATACAGGAATGTTCAGATTTAACCTCATCCTTTTCAGGCTATTTTGGCCCATAAAGGTTTCACCAACATAAGTTCAAACGACCTAGGGTCAAATGTCATAGGGTCAAACAACCTAAAGTCAAACATCATTGGGTCAAACAACCTAGAGTGAGAGGCCTAATGGTCAAAAATGTGACAAATTGTAAAATTACAAAGTGGAATACAACATAAGGTCAAAAAGTGCGACAAATAGGCAAAATTTCATTTAGACTATTTTTTTATTCCCTTGAACTATTTCTATGTTAATTAGAACCAGTAGCCATAGTGCTCGACCCCCTAGTCTGTCCTAGCTGCAGGGCTTGGCCCAGAAATTGTCTCAACCTAACTAACTCTGATATATTACATATTTTTATGTTATTTTTATGTTCATTTGAACTACTATAGCCAAAGCACTCAGCCCAGAAATTTCCTTAACCAAACCTAACCCTGAAATGATACATAAAATATTTTTTTTCCATTTTGACCCTTTGTTGTTATACCCTTTGTTGCGTTTGTTACCGTTTCTTGTTTGACCCTATGTTGTTTGATCCTATGTTGTTTTACCCTATGTCGTCTTACCCTGGGTAGTTTTAAATTTTATTTAATTAAGCCTGTCCTAAAGGTGTGGAAACTTCAAAAAGACAAATGAGTCTAAAGTTTCATTACAGAAGGCAACATTTTTCAATTTTGTCATCAATTTCTGGGGTCTCCAAACTTCCAAAGTCTTATATTGCCTCGTTGTGCCAACACCCTCTTTGACACCTAATTACAAGGTTGACCGCTAAACCCACATCTAGACCTTTGCCTGGTGCACATTATTCTCTTCAAATGCACTTAATATCATGTCAATGGAATTTAAACAAAATTTCTTGAAACTTTGTATGTGCATCTTACTTTCATGGGCCTCCTATTGCTCTAAGATTTGAATTTTTCAAAGCTAAAAGATCAGAAGACATGAAGTCAGCAAACCCACTGCAATCAAAAGTTGTTATAAAACTATACAATTACTGTAAGTTTCCACCATTTTACATGGATATTTTACAGTAATACTTGTGCCAACTCTATTTTTAGAATTTTGTCAGTCTAAAACATTTTACATTTACCTCTGTAACAGGAGGGTCCTGTGATGTATATTCATCATTTATTTTAGTATAAAGCAAAATTACATTAAACAATATAAAAGTTTACAATTTAACAAAAAAAAACAGGTGCAATACAAGACTTTTAGCATGTGTATAGTTTAGTTATTCAGAGTTGTTTTTCTGAAATGGAGTTTCTTGGTCCCAGTCTAGTGTTTTTTGTTTTCTAAAAATGTGGTATGATGACAGCACTGCAAGGCTTGATAGATTTTAGCACATTGCTTTGAAAGTAAAACTAACACTGGGTTTGCAGAACTTATGCAGTTTCTTTAGATTTGCATTATTTGATGGTCAGATATATCCTCTTAAGCCGATTTCAAAAGGGTGAACAGACACGTCCATAGTTGTTATATCTGTGATAAAATGTTTATACTTGTTCATCTTTTGAGTGTTGGCGTTTTTAATATTTGTCTCCAATGGGACAGTAAGCTCAAAAATATCTATCTTTTCCTCCATTCTATCGATAATTACTAGATCTCTGTGGTCACAAGGAGGTGGGGGGGAACAGTACCTCCCACTGGAAGGGTATGGGATGGGATGTCGGCATACATCAAAAATTGGTCAGTATATCAATTATTTCAGTCATATATTTAATTGTTGTGCCTCCAAGTATATCTCTTTTGGTGTAGTGCAACCTTGCAGCCATTCAAAATATGGTTTGTAGTTTCTTGTCTTCTAGCTTGCAATTCAGCACCTGCCTGTAAACATATTTTACAGAGATCTGATGCAGATTTTCCCCATTGTAGAAGGTTAGTCTGTGTTGGCAAGGTGTCCAAACAGGAGTTGAGTAGAAATTTCAGTGTACCTTTAAGTAAGTAAGTAATATTTATTGCACAATAACATGTTAACATATTAAAGTGGCAGGAGATACACAATTCGCAGGATTGCGGTTTACAACGTAGATCTCATAATACAGTCTTTAAAACAAATTATACATTAACAAGAAAATAATCCATTGGTAATTAATATATTTTTCATTACATGAATGGAACGTACAAGGTGGCGAACTTATGTGCTGGATGGCTGGAAAAGAGTCTCGATTATTAGCGGTCCGACAATTATTTCTGAATATTGTAAATGTAGAAAGTAATTAGCCCGGTAAACCTGTTTGACGCAATTAGAAAGTAAAAGTTTAAACAGCTGATTGTTAGAAGCAGTTAGCAGACCGATGTGCGTAATAAATGAAATTGCTTAGTCGGGAAGAATACACTGAATTTAAAAAGTCTACAAGCTACAAATTGGACAAAACAACCTTTCTTCAGATTGAACATGTAAGATTTCAAGATCACGTCAGATTTTTCAAGCATTGCCAGGCAGAGAAAATGTCCTTGTTTTATGAGTGTTTCTGTATGTTTTCCCCCATTTTCAAAAGATACCTTTTTCACTGTCATCCCACTCAGGCATTTCTGCCTGACCATAGTTCTCTAATGTGGCTTGTTGAAACAAATTTTCTGCATAGTCTGTGATGGAATTTTTACCTCTGTAACTGAAGGGGCCTGTGATGTTCATCATGAGTGTACTATTCTCCATTTTACTGGAACATTATAAAAAAAGAAATTTTTTTATTGTTGGACACATTAAAACTATATAGAATTGTTCATTTCAACAAATGTGAAATAACTCAACCTTCTCGTTATAAGGATAAGTCTGATCATCTGCATGATCAACCTTGATCTTAATCAACATTTCATAAATTTTAGTCCTAAACTCTTAAACATTTCATAAATTTTAGTCCTAAACTCTTAAACATTTCATAAATTTTAGTCCTAAACTCTTAAAAGTCATTAGCATGGA